CATTAACCTACATGCTAGGCTACAATGAGAAGGAAGGAAAACTGCGTTTTTTTTATCGAAGTTTTATCGACTCTCTTTTTTTCTATTGTGCCACACGTCTATCAATCGATATATATCGTTATTGAATTATCGCCCAGCCCTAACATGAATCAAAAAATCAAAAACGACAGAAATGGTTCCAGTAAATTGAAACCACATCACTCACCAGGGCACATCAAATTTAGCAGTTAAGCTATAATTTCTTTCTAAGTTATGGAATTTAAGAGTAATAAAGTTTATGCTCTTGATGATGTACCTGAGCTTTAATTTGGGTAAAGCTTCCCTCTGTCATTCAAAGGAACTAAAACCTTAAATCAATCCAGAGCTGTGAGATTTCCTGTTTGGATCTTCTTGTTCTACCAAGGTGGCCTACTAGTTGCTTTTTGGCTTTTATATGTTTTATGTTCATTTTTAGATTATATGACGGTTTAAATTGATACAATATTGGATATGATTAAAAACGCATTTCAGATATTTTTATGATGATCAGTCTATGATTACGTTATTTTTCTCTGAGGTTTTGGGTTATATGTAGTTTTATACGTTTTTGTGTTTTTAAAGAGAATTTTATTTTTGACCAAATTAAGAAACATACATTGTGATATAAGAGTTACCTCTCTCACCTAATTACAATTTATACATGGAAAAAAAAAAAAAAAGCTGTTACTCAGACAGTAGGAGCAGGATTTTTTGATACCTAACTTTTTTCGTTCCATTCAACTTTTTATTTCATTAAAACCTTAAAAATATTTTTGAATAGCTCAGTCCAGTGACTCCTAAACTTTACGACCGCTTCAACAATTAAACAAACAAAATTCAACAAACCGTGTCCTTTAAACCTTTAAACCAACACCTTTAATGATTTTAACTTTTCATTTATTATGCAAGATCAATAAGTATTGCTATCAATAAATAAACAGCTTGTTGGGAGTCCTGTGTACAATGTTCTAACAAAAAATTTAATCCTTTTTCTAAGGCTAAGCTGGCAGCTGAAGCTCAAGATAAATATGAGCGGGAGATGATTCTGCATGCAGCTGACGTTGAGGCGCTGCAGGCAGCCAAAGCTCAGGCTCTGCAGGCTGCAGAGCTCAGACACCAGCTGGAAGAGAGAAACCAGCGGGTCAGCTCTGAGATGCTGGAGGCCAGAGTCTCCTGGGAGGTGCAGGAGAAGATCATTAAGGTTGGCTCTGAATTACCTCTGCAGTTCAAATACAATTTAAAAAGTTGCTGCAAACCAAGCCAGGTTTTCTATAAACAAAATGCTTGTATCCACAAAATCTCCCAGGAGGAAATGTCTAAGATGGAAAGTCGTTATGAGGAGTTGCAGAGGCAGAACACCCTCCTGCATGAGCAGGTCCAGACCATGAGCACCAAGATGGCTGCCAATATTCAGCGAGCCGCCAATGAGAGCTCGCTGAATGTTTCTTTGACTGAAGAGGGGAAATCTGAAGACCAGCTGCTTGAGATTCTCAGGTAACCAAGTGATATCTCATCACTTTCCTCCCTGATTGTTTTTCCTCCATTAAATTTACTTTGACGGTCTTCACCTTTTCCAACAGATTTGTGCGTCGGGAAAAGGAGATTGCTGAATCCCGGTTTGAGGTGGCCCAAGGCGAGAGTTTACGTCACCGTTTGAGGGTTGAACACTTGGAGCAAGAGCTTAAGGAGGTGCAGGACAGTTTGTCTGCTGCAAGAGAGCGAATGCAGGTACATATTAAAAACCAAAGGAGCAAAACCTTAAAAAAATATCAAATCAAAGTATTAATCCACTCTGTACGGGAGTTTAAAAAACACCTTTTATGTTCTGTTTCTGATATCTCAATGATTTGTCTCAGGTGACTGCAAAGACTCTGGCTCAGCACGATGAGCTCATGAAGAAGACTGAAACGATGAATATCTTAATGGATACCAACAAGATGCTGAGAGAAGAGAAAGAGAAAATGACTCAAGAGCTGCAGGAACTACAAGCTAAGGTGTCCACCTCATTTTATTGTTAAAAGCTGGTAGGGTGTTTGAAATTATTTGTACGTCAGCGGTAGGCTGCTGTAGAGTTCTGTTGGGGATTTATAGCAACCTGTAAATTACACCATTTCAAACCTAATTTGAGGTCTTTAAAGATGCATTTTCTGTGCTAACCGGTCCACATAGAGCAGCAGCTGCAGTAGTAGGGGTCGGCATTTATCATATTTATATCATATTTGCATTTGATATAGTTTATCTTGATAAGTTTCTATTCATAACAATTAGATTTATTGTCAACACAACAAATTTGAATTAGTGATGATAAAAACTTAAAAAAATTGGTAAACTTTATTTTTCATTGGGGCAAATTTATAGAAACATTATTAAATGCGAGACCCAGGACACGCTTGAGAAACTGTTTCTCGGCTGGTCTGGGAACGCCTTGGGGTGTCTCCTGAGGGGCTAGAAGAAGTGGCTGGGGAGAGGGAAGTCTGGGCCTCCCTTCTTAAGCTGCTGCCCCCGTGACCCGACCCCGGATAAGCGGAGGAAGATGGATGGATGGATGAATGGATGATTAAATGCGGTTACTAGATGTAACACTTTACATCACATTTTATATATATATAATATACTTTTTTATTCTTTTTATGTTAGAGTAGTGTTTGTGATTGTGGAGCTATGGTTGCTGTGCCTTGCATTCACAACTACAGTTACTTCAAAGAATTAAAGAAGTGTCATCATCAGTTTTGTAGTTATCACAATAACCACAGAATAAAATTATAACATTTTTAGGTCATGTTGCCTAAATGGTACTTCTAATACACAGCCAAAGATCAAAAGACTACAAAAGGGCTCAACTATAAACTTAAACACAAACCAATATTTAGTCATGTGTTCTTCTTGCCAGTGATGCTCTTAAATCTATCGTCTCTTAAAAGTCGACTGTCTCCTATCCTGTCAGGTTGTTTATAGCTACAAACGTTTTTTTTTTTTTTCTTTCCATTTTTATTGGTGAAAGCCTTAATTCATGATGGTTCATTATACATATTTTTTTGTTTCTTGTTTTTACGTTATTTCAAATGCTTTTCAACTTTTGGATCCAGTTCGCCATCTTAGAACGACTAGTTAAAAAACCCAACTGGAAGGGAAAACCAGCAGTGAATAATTACTGTGTGATATTTGCTAGAACTGCATCTATTCACCTGTTAACATTTGTTAAAAACTCAAATTCAGACTTTTATGTGTCTTTCAGGTACAGAAGCTTGAGTCGGACATCTTTCCTCTGCAGCAAAGTAACTCTGAGCTGAGTGAGAAAAACGGCATGCTGCAGGCGGAGAAGACGATCCTGGAGGAGGAAATCAAGCGCTGGAAGGCTCGGACTCAGGTCAGCACACAGACTGGAAGTTCATTAGGCCCCAACAGAAACAAAACGGTTGTTTTTTTTTTATTTAACATGTTGCTGCAGCCATCTTGTTTTCAATGTCCCTCCAGAATTTACTGATTCAGCAGAAAGATTCAGATCCTGACGAGTACAAACGGCTGCATACTGAGAAAGAGACTCACCTGAAACGCATCCAGCAGCTCACTGAGGAAAACACTAGACTCAAAGCTGAGCTCAACAAGTAAGAGATTTCTTCTTTTTTTGGAATAAAATGTTATGGCTGCATCAGAGATGGACAATAAGCTGAGTAAATGGTTTACAGATTTGGTTTCCTTTGGGATCAATAAAGTATTTTTGAATTATTAAAGTAAAGCCCTTATTTTTTCTCCTTGTCGCTGGGTAGGATGAATAACCTGACAACCACGCTGCAGGGACAAATACAGAACATGCGCGACACTATGAACAAGACGAACGATGAAAGGAACAACCTGAAGAAGGAACTAGAGACTAAGAACCAGGAGATCCAAGAGAAGGCCAGAACCATCACCCAGGTGAAGAAAATCGGACGTCGCTATAAGACACAATATGATGACCTCAAGGTGCAGCATGAGAAGGTGAGTTTCTTCCTGCTTCACTTTAAACACTTTAAGATAAAGTGGATGGTTGCCTGTTGTATATTATTGGATCAATAATAATAAAAGGTTTTATCCAAACTTGAATATAAGTTAGTTTTGTTTTTTTCACCATCCTGTATGGATAATTTGTAACGCCATTCTATAAAAGAGCAGTTGCTATAGTATTGCTCTTTCTCAAAGCCTGATTCTGTTAACTGATCCTTTTCTAATTTCACACCAGACACTGTCCCGGTGTAACAATCCCTTTGGGATTATTAAAGTATTTCTTATTCTGATTGTTGTCATCCTAGCCTTTTTGTTTTGGGTTTTGTAAGTTTACATTTTTGTTTCCTATTTCTGGCCACCTGTCTGAACTGATTAAGATGAAAATCTGTTCCAGTTAAAAAGCTAATTTCTATTCTGATCTCCACCGTTTTTATGTCATGCAGCTTGTTAATGAGGCTGCAGCAGGTCCATCCCAAGACGAGGAGGCACGGCAAGCTTCGGCTCAGGAGCTGCAGAGCGTCAAAGATGCCTTGAATCAGGCTGAAACCAGAACCAAGGAGCTGGAGGGACAGCTGGAGAACATCAACAAGGTGAGACATCACAAGTATCAACAATTTAAAACAGAAAACACCGCATGCGACCTTCTTTTAAACAAACCTGTCTGTTTCACATCGTTTAAGACAGTGAAATTTTATTTTCATGATGGCTTTTATTTATAAAAATATATAAAAACTATGTTGAGCAGGTGGTCGCAGAGCGGGAAACTGAGTTGCGTAACGTCCAAGAACAGTCCTCCAGACTGCAGACGGAGCTGAATCGGCTGAGACAGGAGCTGCAGGAAAAGGCTTCTCAGGAGGAAGGTCTGAGAAAGCAGATGGCCGAGAAGGACGAGAAAACCAGAAAGGCCCTCCTGATGGCCAGACAGAAGATCAGCCGTGTCACAGGTGTGAAGATGTTTTCATTTTACTTCCCATCACATCCAGGAAAGATAAAAAGATTCACAGATTTTATAAAACAAATTTATGTGGTTGCATAGAGCTACATAGAGAGAACGAGGAGCTGAAGCAGCAGCGTGAGGAGCTGGAGGTCCGAGTGAGCGCTCTCAAGTCTCAGTATGAAGGCCGACTTAGCAGACAAGAGAGGGAGCTCAGAGATCTGCGGGGTCAGCAGGAGAGGCAGGAGCAGAGAGACGAGCCAGCAGAGGCGGGTCCAAGCAAGGTGAATGTCTAATCGTTCTGAAAGGCTATAAATGTTCTGGTTAGCTTACATCTGAGGAAGATTAGAAGCCTTAGCAGCTTCCATCTGAAAATCAACCTAACCTACATTTTTTCAGCCTGTTAAAAAAATACAGTCTATTTACTGGAGTTTTTGTGAATCCTCTTTTTCAATCTTGGTTTTAAAGAACTAACTAATCCTGCTCATTTCAGATTCAAGAGCAACAAAGGACGACGGAACAAAGGCAGATCAGCCTGAAGACGACTCCAGCTGCAGAGAGGGGCAGGTAAACGTTGAAAATAATCTTCAATTAGCATTTTATTAGCATTGGAATACAGTATTATACAGAAGTCAAATAGAATGGCCATTATAATTTATTAGCTGTTGTTGCAAAACAGTTTAACCAATTAGGAGTGGTAAATGGAAAGCTTTTCTCTGTCAGTACCTTGCTACTCTAAACAGTCCAGGTCTTTTTTTTTATTACAGTCACATTCCAAATTAATTTGCAAAGTTAGCTCTGTAAATTAGAAGTTTGTAGATCCCAGACACACCCAGTCTTCTGACTGTTCTTATCATCTCACGGTCAGTTTACAGCCCAGGCCGACTAGAGGATTAAAAAAATGTAGAAAAAGTAGGGGTTGTTTTCAACAAGGTGCAGTAGTCTGCTTTTAACCTGCTGACCAGCAGTGCTCAGCAAACCTTTCATCTTTCAAGCTTTGAAAGCAGTTTAATAATGTAGTGTTATGATAAACCAGCCCTCTCCTAATCAGAACAGTTTTCTTTTTCTTCAAAAATGTTTTTTAAATCACTTTTGTTTTTTCATTCTAGTGCAAGCGCCTCTGAGCCTCCAACTGCCAACATCAAGCCCACCCCTGTGGTGGCCACAGCCAGCAAACAGCCTGTGAACCCAGGCAACAAGCCCACTCCGCGAGCTAGCATCAGACCTATGATTACCCCTGCCCCTGTGCCCACTCCAACACCCACCGCTACAGTCATGCCAACCACACAGGTGGAGACCCAGGAGGGTAAGTCCAGCTGCAAGACCCCGACTAAAAAAAAATTAAATCCTTCCCTTATTTTCTCCCAATCTCAACCTGAACTTCACCCACAGCCATGCAGTCTACAGAAGCGCCACCAGTGGAGCATGTGACTGTGTACGGAAGTGCCAGCGGCTCCGTACGCTCCGCCAGCCCCAACGTCCAGACCACTTTGGCCAGCTCCATGCTGACCGTTCAGCAGACTCCAGCACAAGCCACCGCCTTTGTTCAGCCAACACAGCAGCAGAGCGTGACCCACCCAGAACCCGACAACCGGGAGCCTTCACCTGTAGCAGTCGAGGCCACGCCGAGTTCTCAGGTGGAATGGCCTTCAACATCCTCCTCCTCATCCTCCTCTGTGTTTGGCACAGGTGAGAAATCTGGTTGGGAAAATGGCAAAAGTACCGGTGCACATTGGATATTTAAACGTCTCAGTCACAAATATGTGACAGCGGTGCTTAGACGTGAAGAAAGAGATCTCACTACATAAAATGGAATTTTCTTGAAATAGTGCTTTTTTTCTTGAATTAGAAGGTAAATGACACACTTTGCCAACTTAGATGATGAGAGTGCTTAGGTAATAAGAGAGCTTAATTTGTGATACAAAACTTGTATGATTGTCAAAGAACATAAAATATAAAACCCATATATATCCACCTCCAGGAAGCTTTCTCAATTCAAATGTCTGGATCCGCAGTCAGTTTGAGTCTTTATTTAGACAAGGCCTTGTATTGCTTGGAAACATGCAAATTGAAACCATGGAGCGGGACGTTTGGTTCCATTGTTGTTGTTATTGTTATTATTATTATTATTTAAACTTTCCCAAATGATCACACTGGAGCGTTGCAAAAAAAAAATATCAGTGCCACAGCCCAGCACCACAGTCCCTCCACCCGCTCCCCCCACCAGTCCCACCTCGCACCCCACAGCGCCATACACCTTCCCTCCTCATCCCAGTACATGTTGGAAAAGCATCAGTTTTAGCCTTTTTTTTTTTAACAGACTCATGCTTGGACGTTTATTCAGCTCTTTTTGGAGTTTATTCCAGACCTTCACACAACTGACAGAAATGCACATTTTCTTCATGGTGGTTCGAACCCTCAAGGCTCTGAAGTCAAGTTGTTCCCTGTAGTCAGTCCTCCACTTATAGTCCCCCACTCAAAAGCTGTGTCAGAAAACAGCTTTTGAATATTTTCTGGTAGTTGTTGATTTCTAGCTTCATACATAAACTGAGCTGTTTGAAATGTTAGCCAATCTGGGAGTTTGAGGAGGCAGATACTTTGTATGATTGTGGAGTTCTGCCTCATGAACGATTCAGATGGCCCTTTTTTGTAATGTGGATAACGAGGTTTTATAGGTGTTGCTTCATATTTCTACGCAGTGACTCAAGTAAACAGAATAGGAAAAGCAGCATGATTTAGGAAATGTTTAGCTTTGCTTAGAATAACAATACTTCTGGATATTTTAGTTTGAATGTATTTTATGTGGTCTCCAGCAACTTTGAATATATTAGAGAAAATAACAAGAACAACACTTCCTACATGATGAAATTGAAGATGTTTGTTTTTTTGTTCTGTAAATATTTTTAATTTGCAGGTATATATGGTGTTAATTGCTCCTTTTCTTCAGTTTCAGCAACACCTGGGTCCTCCGCCATGTCCAAGAGGCCAAGAGAGGAAGAGGAGAACAGTGCCGCGTTCACGGAGGTGGAGCCCACCCAAGAGGACACATCCAGGGCTCCAATACCGAAAAAGCTGCGCATCATCCAGAGAGTGGGGCCAGAGGTAAGAAGAGAGGGTGGAGCGTTTTTTCACCCCCCTTAACTGTTCTGTAGGTTTTTACAGAAATGCTGTCTTGATTGATCTCCCAGGAGGAAGTGATGGTTGAAGAGAGCGCCGAGGCTGAGGGGGTGGTGCCATCAGACAGCCAAGATGGAGCAGAGGCAAGTCATTTTTGTATCTGATTATTTAACTTTCCAGAGTGTTTTCCTCCACCCTGCCTCTGTTTTTATTTGACTCTATCAAAGCGTGAAATTTCTGCCCTGCAGATGGAGTTTTCACACCTTGAGGAAGCGGAGGAAGAAGCAGCCTCTCAGTCGGTCCCAGCAGAGCCAGGGACCACCTCGAGCCAAAGTGAAACACCCGATCAGCTGCAGCAGGAGGTCATCGTCATACTGACTGACTCTGAAAGTGAAGGAGAAGAGGAGGAGGACGAGGAGGAAGAGGAAGAGGGAGAGGAGCAGGTAGGGGCATTCGTTTAAAAACGCTTTTATGAAATGTCTCGGGTTCCTCTCATTGGTGCTTTCTATCTTTTAGGATTATGCAGAGGAGGAGGAAGACGAGGAAGAGGAGGATGATGAGGAGGACGATGAAGAAGATGAGGAGGAGGAAGAAGATGGAGGGATGGAGGAGGAAGGAGACGAGAGTAATGAAGGAAGCGGGGATGGCAATGAGGCTTATGAGGGAGACGATACAGAGGTTGGTTAAAATGATTCGTCTGCCCCCCCGTCTAAATGTTCAGCTCCCAGCCCCCCCCATCCCTGTCATGCTTTTAGGGTAGACTCTCTCAGGCCTTCCAGCTCATAAACTCATTTGTTCCACTGCCTGTTTTCAGTTTTACTCAACCTTCTTGTCTTATTTCGTAATTTTTGTCTCTGTTTACTTTAGCTGTTTAATGTTCACCTTTTTCTTTTCTTTTGCACGTGTTCAGTCTAATGACTCCGTGTCTGAAATGTGACATTTAACCCCCGTTTGCAGACCGAGGCATAGAGTAACGTCTTGCACGTAGAGACGGGGGTTGTTTTCTAATATCGGGTTATTTTTCAGCTGTTACAGTTATTTTCAAAGCAGTTTTGTCACTCGGGACCAGACACTGCATCACTTGGAGAGCATCATGTCTATTTTGTCTTACATGCCACACATAAGGGAAGAAGCTTCCTTAGGAGGCTCCCACCTCCAGTCAGGATCTATAAGTTCTGAAAATTAGAGAACAATATTTAAATTAAACAAGTTCATTCTGAAATTATAACTTGGCCTGTTTCATTCTGGAAATCTAGTCCTTTCCATGATGGCTTCCCTTTCCAATGTAAACCCCCAGAGTGGCTTCACAGAAAGAGAAGGGTAGAGACAGCTGCTTTTGTCCTCAAGGAAACGGAGGAGGGTTGCATAAGCTTGGAGAGAACAACAACACTGTGGGGGAAAACTGCACCCTGTACCCTTGTAAACATGGTTAAGATGAAACATGGAAACTGGTCCTCAATGTCCAATATTATTATTAAGGCCCAACAATGAACAACAACTAAACATTGGTCAACCAGTTTCCCGACCTACATCTGGCAGAACCTGTAAAAGGGGCTGAAGGTGAGGGTGATGGCAAGAGGCCCTCTTTTCTCAGACTTAAAGATGTTTCCATTGATTATTGAGTCAAAATACATCAGAGGCTAAACATTTTTCTAACGTTTAGTTTTTACTGCTTTTACATCTTTATCCTGTGAAACATGCC